TTACTACTAAACAGCCTTTAGACAATACACTCTGGCAAGGACTGCAAGTGAAAGGATTGGGTGCCACTTGGTAATGGAACTTAAAGAACAGATTGTCAGGCATACCAAGAGTTTCAGATGCATTTCTGAATTCACATCTGTGGGAGTTGTGGATTGTCACAGTTCATTTGCTTTCGTAAAATATCCACAATTTGCTGACAAGCAACTTCAAAAGTCCATTCATCGACTGGGCGGTGTACCCTTTTCAGCATTTTTTAAAATCTAAATGTTCTTTTCTTACAGTAATGCAGAGCTGGTGAAGAAGAAACAAAACAAAAACCCAAACCAAAAAACCTGATGCTAAAATAAATATTAAAATATAAAATACTTCATACAAAGTAATTCAATGTGCCATTAGTTGTACAATATTTCAAAAAGCAAATACATGTTTATAAAGCAGAATCAGCAATAAAAATACTTATGATTACAGAACTTGTGAGCACCATGACTCCATACATGTTAAATCCTTTGGGAAGTGCCTTTTTGTTTTTTTGGTTTGTTAAACCTTGCACAACTGCAGTTTGTTTTCATTAATCATACAGGGAGTCATAGAATTACAGTGTGAGACACATTTTACATCACTGAAGACTGCAGATGAAAATAATTCTATGATTTGTTTTAAGAGCTGAATACTGTATATGCCAGTCAATAGAGAAAAGTTGTTTGTTTTTTGTTTAATGTAGCCAGATTGCCAAGGCTAAAGAATGCTTGAAAAATACTAACAATTTTCTCAAGAAGGGTACATCAGAATAAAGCTGCATTTTTTTATATAGCATGCCAAAATGGGACCTTGATGAAGACCTACACAGTGCATAATTTCCTTTAAGTTCCTCTAAGCAGTCTTGTGTTATGAGTACAATTAAAAGTCCATCAGTATCCCAAGTACTCGTGCATTATCTACCCTGCCACACTTCGCTAATGCGTCTTATCATTTAGGTTGTTAATACTGTTCAGTGTAAAGACAGTCTTTCTGAGGTAGACTGTTCAAGTTCAAGGACAAGTCTTTTTCTTACGAAATGCATGACATTCAAAAAAAGACAACAAATAAATACTACATGTACAATATGTAGCAATGAGGTAGAAATGGTTTTAAAGAACAAATGTCTGAACGCACATCTGATGAAAAATATTTTTAAAAAGGAAATGAAAAGCCTCTAGCAACTGCATATAAACCACGAGAACAAAAACAAAACAAAAAGAAAAAAAAAGAAAAAAGAATCACACAAAGTTTAGGTTTGGAAATAAACTTTTGCTTCTTTTTCTATTATAAAACAAGAAGAAGGAATGAATGTGCTCCCAACCTTGGTGTAGTACAGAACCATTTTATAAATATTTAACATTCTATAGGACTGATTCATATATTCTCACACAACTCTGTGGCAAGGCTGACCCATACTGCCGACATTCTACATATCACTGAGACAGGGAGGTGAAATTTTCCTGCTTTCAGTCTAATTGTCTTTGACAATTGCAGTGCCTAGTGCTACACTCCCTGGTTCACAAAAATGCATCTGGCAGGTTCAAAATCGAATGTCAACCAAAGGTCCTTGCAGAGTGTGAGCTTCAGTTCATGTATTGGTTAGTCACCAGCACAGCTGGGCTTTTTTTGAATTCTGAAATACTAGTATCTCCATGTTTACTAATGTGCTTCATATAAATCTGCAGATGATTAAATGACTTCTCTTTTTTTTTTAAGTAAAGAGACAAAGCTATTGTTTGGACATGGTGTGTATGCACATATAAATATTATATACACACATGCACACATACAAGATGGAAAGGAGTTAGTGCTGTGAGGACACGGTTAGCTTTCAGAGCTGATGATGAAAACCAACAGACAAGACTATTATACATTGGAGGGATGACTTTTCTAACAAGGGCAGAAACCAGGAGTAATTCCTTCAAGTCAACAAGGTTATACCTCCTTCAGACTGGTATAAGTGAAAGGGTAGGAGGCCCTACAACTTTTGGTGGCCTTGTTTCATGACAAAGCGTATCCTTCAGATCTCAGTAATGCACTCTCCCTCGTGACGGACGGAGCTTCAGAGAACAATGCAGGGGGGTTAGAACAGCAGCCCTTTACCTGAAGTTGCACATATTTGCAGACAGTGAAAACCCTGGTCAGATCCCCAAATTTGCTTTCAATATATTAACATCTTGATCCAGGAATTAATTTGGATCTTTTCGGCTAGGTGATCCCCTAAAGAAACATCCTGTGAAAAACCACCCAAATATGACCTTGTACCGTTTTACAGAGCACAGCCTCCGAATAGCTGGTAAAGACACCCAGGTGGTGTTTGGCCTATGTATTTTAGTCAGATGGTTGATTTCCCCTTGGTAGATTTGTAACGCTCAAGAAAACATTTTGCCCATCTATCTGCATTTGAGTAGAATACAAACTAACAGATAAATAATCCATGTGAAAGTAAATAGCCTTAAAGTGAACTGCCTTCACATTCCATTGATCAGCACAGTCAGCAAACTTTTCTGTATTGTCACTAACGTTCTAAACATTTTGGAGAGAAACACGCCAGAAGTATAGAGTATTTCCATTTCTGTCTCACATAAGGTCATTATGAACTCCTCCTTGAATTGATATTGATCCTTCAGCTTGCAGAAATATTCCTCCAATTTATTTTATTTTTGTTGCCGTATGAATTGTTACTGAAGGTACAAGGAAGAAAATAAGCTGATGTAGAATGGGATCCACGCATGAAAATACAACATAAAGCATCTGCAGTGATAGGCTGACACAGCAGATGCGCTTTAACCATTTCTGGTTCCTTAAAAGCCAGGGCTGTGCTAGTGGCCAGGCAGCCCCTGCCAACCACTTGGGCATTTCTGTGGCAGCAGCCCCCAGCTTTGCCCAGTCGGAAAAGACAGCAAATGGCTTTCTACCATGGAAATGTCAAAGACCAGCAAATATTTCGTCCTAAGGTCACCATTAGAACATATTTTGTCTCTCTTCTCAAAAACAATCCTAACCTTTGGGATCCATTCAAGTTCAGGATAGTGCTTCAGCCCTTCCTGGACACTGCTTGACAAGAAGGCTGCTGGGAGGGGGGAAGGACCAAAGGGGTGAAGGCATGCCAAAATCTTCTCACTGGGGAGAAAACAGGGGCTGAATCTGGGAGAAGGGAGGAAAGCAGTAAGAAGGCCAGGACATGGCAGGGGATTCAGCCAGCTCAGTCCCACCATACTGGGGAAATTCCATCAAAGGAGTGGCCAGAAACCACTTGGAGAAGGGCTGAGGTGCCTCCTGTTAATGCTACCTGGCCAATCTCTCACCGAACTCAGCAGGCACGCTACCAGAGCGATGCCAAGGACAGTGGCTGGTACGGAAAGATTTGGGTAACAGTCTAGCTCTGTCTTCCTCTCCTTGCAGCTGCTGTGATAGGGGGGCAGTTTTCCGCTTCTGATGCCCCAAAGCTGAATCAAACCCTGGAAAGAACAAGCATGAGCATGTGTGTGCCCGTGTGTGGGACCTGCATTTTCACACCATCTCAGTTTCTGCATGCTTCTCACTTTGGTTAACATTTGAATAATCCATTTCCCAGAGCGACATTTTAAAGAGAATGGTTTAAAGCTGGAAGCCAAAAGGACCATCTACAATTTGGTTTGCTTTTGGTTTTGCTACTGGATAAAAAGAGGAAAAAACCCCACACTAGTGGGTAGCTTTCATTTTACCAGCTGCGAAAAAATCTGTTAAAGAGTATGGTTAGGAGAAACAGTTAACAAGAGTTGGTTTATCAAAACTTGGCTGAGCCTTTCAAATGAGCACAGCTCAATGGCAGATATGAAAGGCAATGTCTAAGACAGAAATTGGGTCAGCGATCTGCAATAGCGTACTTGCCAGCGTCATCAGTATGAACCTAGAGCTAGCGGGGACATCAGGATATCCCAGATATGAGGATGGTGGAATGACCGGGGTGAAGCCTGTGGAGGTTTGGGGAAGCAGAAAGACTGGGTCATAGCAAGGACCACAGACTGTAATTGCTGTTGAAAGGAAAACGGAAAAAAAGAAAAAAAAAAACAACAAAAAGAAAAGCAGGTGATGTACTTAAGTCTTACTTTCTATATCCTGAATGAAAGGCACTGTTTTTAAAATGGTACTTTTATGCTTAAAACATAAAGTTTTAGATAGACAAAATGTTTGCCAGGAATCCATCTTAAATTAGATTTTGGTTTATTTGCTCTGTTTTTAGCACTTTCTATCTAAATATATATATATATCTTAAAAGAAAAATAAAAGGAAAGTAATAATAAAGAGTCATAAATTTCCAGCAATATCACAAAATCCCTCGTTAGCTTTCTGAATGCTCTATGTCTCCATTGATTTAACAAAATGAACAAGGTCTGTACAATTTTTGAGAAGACAAACATGATCTAGTAACAGATTGGTATCTCTCTTCTTGGGGCTTTTCAGTGCATTTATTTCATGGTTTTGAATGTACATTACTTAACAGGAACATTAAATGCCAGTGCTTTGCAACAGTTTTGTTACTGTCTCTTTAAAGTAAACAAACAAAAAAAATACATTCAAAAAAGCAAGGCTGTTTTGCTCATGTGATGGCAGAGGCGTTGGGCAGCTGCAACGCGCGCTGCTCCTGCTCAGAGACGTTACCCAACATCAGTCAGCTGTCACCAAAAGAGTTGCACGGAAAGCAGTAAAGGATAAAAGGAAAGGGGGGGGAGGGTGAGGGAGAACTGAGCAAAATGCCACACATGCCAGCTAGTCTTTCCAGGAGGAAGACACTAGAGCATGTTTGTTTGGGGGAGAAAAAAGGGGGGTAAAGAGCACTAACACAGAGAAAAACTTGACTTCAGGGGAAAAAACAGCAGCTCTCTGAAACTTGTTTAGCAGATTCGCATTCCTAATGTAATCTGACTTCTGTGTTGGTGTTGTTTTTTTGCCCTATTTCTTACTTTGCTTTCCAAGAGAAATGTAACAAAACTGAGGTAGAAATAATGGTGGGCACGCTCCAGCCTGGAAGATTTCAAATGGATGCTAAATGAAGCTTGCATTAAGGACAATGGAGCTGTACGTACACAACAAAAACTCAACTTTACGGTTTGGGAAAGGAAATAAACGTACTTTGAGGGTTCAGTTTTGCTTTGTTATTTGTACTGTTTGTTTGGTCACAGTCCACTGCATTGCTATAAACAGCTCTGCAACCCATAGCTCTGCCAGCGACCTACACTGATCCCACTCCCTACAGCTTCACCAAAATAACCTCAAAACTACGACTAGAGCCGCGCAGCAAAGGCCAGCAATCACAGCTTAAGGTAATTTGTCTCTCGGAATCCTACCAAATCTTATATTTGACTGTTTCGGATGCTAACATAAACCGATTAAGTGGCTCTTTTTTCATCTATGCACCTTCTAAAGACTGTATCACGTAATTATCAAGAAGCAATATGCTGAAAGCTCTTACAGTTTACCAACGAGAAAAATCGTTCTGCTCTGGTTTGATCTGACAAATTGGCGAAAGAACCATTTCTGAACACTGGGAAATCCTTCTGTTTCTATTTTTAAAAACTGTAAAGCTTCAGTCATATCCCATTTTAGTTTTTTCCTGGATACATTCAAAGTAATTTTCCTTGCCATTTTCCAATTGTTGAGGTAAACATACATATTTAATATAAAGTAACATTGAAGCCTAGCCTATAACTCTCAGCAGTACATAGTGCTTTCAACACATTCCTTTGAGGTACTGTACAAATCACAATCACTTTCCTGAGTTTTTGCAGACAGAACATTAAAAGAAATGAACTGCAGAAATTAAGGTCCAGATTACCATTACCCTGTTTTACCTGTTCTTAGTTTAACACTGCAGAACAGACAGGATTGAGGAATACTGTTGCTCTTAGAATAGCAAAAATCTGGTTCTCTGTCGCAACACAACCGTTCATCTCTTTAGTCCAATAATGTTTGAAGTTAAAGCTCTTTATATTAGCACATGCCACCAATGTAATTGTGAGGCAAACAAAAAATAAAGCACCACTTCAGGCACTTGACAGCAACTAAATCTCAAGAACAGCAGAATGGAATCAACACACAGGGTTCATGTCCTTCTGAAATCAACCCACTTGCACCTTGCTCCTCGGTGAGTATTGTCTAGCTTGAACAGAACTGAGCATCAACATGCGCTTTCTGTCATGTGTGGCTTTCTCAGATCAGCAGCTCTTGTTTGATGCACTTTTCCTTCAAGTCTACCCTGGCTCTTTAGAGGCAAGGTAAATTGTAGTCTTCCCAGTACCCTTCGCAATTTTAACACTACTGAAAAGGGTTCTCTACCCTATGTAGCAGGTTCTGTGTGTGCCAACATTCATTACATTTTTTTTTTAAGTAGTATCACTGACTGCAACCAAACATTTTGTTCCATTCAACATATGTATCAAGCTCTTTTTGAGATATGCTAGGCTGTATCTTGCAGAAAGCATTTTCAAAGTCTTGATATGTAACTGGCCTCAACTGGCTGGGCATAATGGCTGAAAGGTCTGTGGCTGGCATGGCGTGGAGTGGGCCCACCACGGCTTCCTGACACAAGTGAGCCACATCTAGTCCAGAAAAGCCTTCTGTGCGCTGGACAAGCAGTGCAACCTCCTTGTCATTGAGACAGTAATTGTGCTGTGAGAGCAGTTGTACTATTATCTGGTGCCTCGCTGTGCTGTCAGGAAGTGGGATTAAAAGCCGTTTCATGAAGTACCTTCGAAGAGATTCATCAATTTCTTCCGGTTTACTTGTGGCGCAAATTACTACTATTTGGTCCTCAGCAGAAGTCAGTACAGTGTCCAGCTGCATAAGGAACTCGGTTCTCATCCGACTTACTGGACTGTGTTCTTCACTCACTTGAGAAGAAAGGAGCATATCAATGTCACTAACAAAAATCACCGAGGGTTGGCGACACCTTGCCACGAGGAAGGAGGCATGGACAATTTTCTCCCCTTCCCCTAACCACTTTGTGACAAGGCCAGAGCCAGTGATTTTGAAAAACGTGGCCCCCAGCTGACTAGCTATACATCTGCCCATTAACGTTTTGCCTGTTCCCCGAGGTCCAAATAAAAGGATGCTCCGAGGTAGAGCAGTCAGTCCATTGAATGCATCTGACCTCAATACTGGCCATAAAACCTCCTCCTTAATGACGGCCTTCACTAGATCTAGGCCAGCGATGTCGCTCCAGTCCACGGGAGGTCCTTGGTTGATAATCTCATTGGTAACAAGGTCAATGAGGTGTGTGTCAGTATTCTTCAGTTGCTCGTCCACAGAGTGGTTGGATGAGGTAGCTGCACGAAGTCCCGGGCCTTGCATTGGGTGAGGGAGGAGCTGCCTGTGCTCGTCCCCGTGCTCATTCATTACTGGGGAGGTATACTTCCCAAACGAGTCACTCGATCTCGAACCCAGCGAGTTTTTAGCAGTACTATAGGATGGGGGTGTTAGAGCCCTACTGGACTGGCTGCTGAATTTCCTTTGCTGTTCAGAGGACATTAGCTGCTTTGTTGGCTTAAATGCTAAGGATGATGTTTCAGCACTTCTGTCAAAACCATTCCCCCTGTTTGCATTTGAAATGCTGTTGTCAGGCATTCGATACATGGGACTCTGTGTAGATCTCTGTTGGCCATAGCTGTAATTTCCATAACTGGAGTCCATTTCTCCTTGCCCTGCCATGTAGAAAGCTTTCCTTTTGAGAGAGCTGGCTGAACTGTTTGTCAGGGCAGACGGCGCGATGGGCGTCAGACCATGGCCCTGGTACGAGTAGCTGGGGACGGTGGTCGGGGGCAGAGGGGTCGGAGCAGGGATTCCGTAGTCGGGCGCGAGGGGTGGTGGCGGCGGCGGGGGCGGGGGCTGTAGAAGTCCCGAGCTGTGTAAGGGGGACGGATGAGGGGATGGAAGTGCAGGTGCTGGCTGGCCACTGTAACTGGTATGCAAGTACGAGCCATTGTATCCTGCGGCATATTCCTGAGACGGGAGCCCTGAATGAAGGCTGGGAACGGTGTGACTTCCGCAGGTGCTGCTGGAGTAACTGGGTTCCGCCAGGTTACTGGCCACCCCAGGAGAGCTCCCGATGCTGGCCGAGACGTCTGCGGGAGGGAGGGCTGTACTTACCCCAGCTTTGCTGGCGGTGATAACGTCTGGGACACAGTTCATGGGATACACGCTCTCCGAGTTCAGCGACGGCTGCCAGGGCTCGCTTTCATTCTTCCGGCCATTCACCAGCCCCGAGGGAGCTTCAGAGTAATTGCTGAGAATGGGCCGCTCGGCCGGGCCTTCCAAAATGCCAAAGTATTTTTCAGCATACTTCTTCAGAAGGTTGGAGGCGGTCAGAGCTGAGATGTCGTCGTTGGCCCAGGCGTACTGGTAGGTGCGCTGCAGGTGGCCCCGGTAGGCTTCCACCTTGTGGGCAGGGGACCGGGTGGTCGAAGTGATATCAAAGTGCTGTTCTGGCCACTGGGCATGCTCCGGCGTCCACTGCATCTTCAAGCCTAGGGCGGCAGGAAAAAACAAAGTTAACTGCGAGCTCGGCCTTTCTCGGATGCTTTTAAATGAGTTCTCAGACGTACTATCTATGAACTTCTTCAGCTCTCTGAAATGCTGTACTTAACACTGCAAATCCTTAAGGAAAGCAAATGCAATGCCCTTATGGAGCGGTATAAACCGCTTGGTTTATTGTAGGCACATATACATGGAGACGTATTTTTTTCCGATTCAGTGGGGGGTTATTTGTCAGTTCAAAAAAAATGTAGGTGATGCCAGATTTCTTGAATTAATTAAATAAGAATCAGTACATTTTAAATACTCTGAGTGCAGATTTACTGTTAACATACAAGGCATCCAACTGCTCTGTCCTCTCTCATCACTGTTTCAGTTTTATATTTTAACCAATACAAAAATATGAGACACAGCTGACAGATCACATCTAGGATACCTCTCTTATTTGGTACTGAACACCTAGTTAGCACAGTATAATGCACCCTGCGCAGAACAATATGACACAGACATAGCAGGTCATTCCATAATCCAACTCTCATCTAAAGTGGTCCACGACAGTTTCAAATCTGCTTCGTGGAGTGCAGCAAAGCAATCTCCCAGGCAGCGCTCCGTCGCTTTCATCACACAAAGCCTACAACTCGGTATGAATTACAACTGGCTCCTTTCTGCCTCTCAGTTCTGTTGTTGAAGCTCTGGAAAAAAAACCAAGCATGACTTGTCTGTCGGTCTCCTTGCTTGCTTCCCCCCACGCCGCCTCACAGCCTCCAGGGTACAAAGAAAGAGGGTTTAAAAAAAAACCCACAAAACCAAGAAACAAAAAGGAAAAAAAAAAAAAAAGGATGAAGGAAAGGATAAAGAAATGAAGTCAAGTCCCTAAAAGTTCTGTAGCTTCCACAGCTGGCTGTAAAAAAAAAACAAACCCTATCAATAAAAGAAAAAAAATGCAAATGTCATTTTAAAGCAATTATTCTTGCGAATAACGTAATGTGAATTTTCCCCCTCCCCATAATCCACTGCACATAGTAAGAGCAATTTACAAGCATTAAGATAACCCCCTCCAAGTCATACCTATGCATGGTAGACACGTTGCTGATTTTTGTACAGCTGTATCAAATAGAGCTCCTTAATCTCTCTCGTATTACCAAAAGTGAGTTTTGCAAACAGCCTTGTGCCCTCTGGCACAGATTCCCTGATAAGGAGGAGGCCTAGTCGAAATGAAGCATCTGTGGCACTAGCTCCCCTCTGAATTACTGCAGTCTATTTTGACAGCTTCTACCCCCTCCTGTTTTTCTCCCCAACCCCTTTAGCTCTTCATTGCCTGACTCTGGCATCTGACATGGCCAGCTTAGCCTCGCTGAGCTAAGCCTAACACAGCACACAGTTTGGTAACAGAATGGCATGTTTATTCCCTTCTGACTCCCTCTTCCTTGTTTGCAAAACCACTGCACCAGACACTGGAAGTTAATTAGCAGGATGATGCTGTGCTAATTGTGTTAATTTACAAGGTTTTAGTCAAAGAGAATCATGCCAGGGCTGGCACTGCTGTCATGCTTCCGACTTAATGATTACGAAATACTGAAAACAAGGTGGGAAGGATTGCAGTAATTACACAATAAATGAATAAAGCAACAGATTCATTTGCAATTATATTTCATTGCAGTTGCACTCATTTGCATTTGGGTTCTTCATTTTTATTTTTGGATTCACGTATTTGCAAATCACCAAATCATTTAAATTTAGCCTGAAAACTGCAAAGTACCTCTAACTGAGCCTTATATTTTATTAGTACAAGTACTGCAAATCTCAGTCCATGTAAGCATGCCATTGATTACTTGTGGATTTTTTTTTTCCCTGAGCGTTCTCTTTCTTTCTCATTTTTCAAACACTTTGACAACTTGAGAAAAATGTCTGTTAACAATTATACAGTTATGCTATAAAAGTTAATTCAGAGAAGTGCTTTTGACAAATGCAGCTTGGAGACTGAGTTTTTGGCAGATTTATTTCTTTCATTTAGCGTTAATATAATCTTTTTTGCTAATTGTTTCTGATGTTTCAACCAGTGCCTTTCAGAGGGGGTAAATGTATCATGAAATTGGGTGAAATTATAGAAATCATGCTCATATGAAAAAAATGCAATTTTAATGAGAAACTATCAGAAACTTTTCAGAAATCATACTTTGTTAAATTCAGCCAGAAATCTGAAGAGCAAATCACCAAGAGCCAATTGCAAGTAATCAGTATCTAAAATTCTTCTAGTGTCATGGGATTTACTTCAAGCCTTTTTTAAAAGGGAAGAATATTAATGTTGCTGTAGTGTAGAACGGCCTAACAGACAAATAAATTCATTACCCCACTAAAAAAAAAAAAAAAAAAAAGCCAAACAAAACAGACAAACAAAGCCTATCCGTGTTCTGCGATATTGGGCTTATCGGGTTACCAAAACAGTGAAAGCTTCTGTTACAGAGATGCAGAAGAACTTGAGTAGGTTGATGCTTCACTAGTTACTGACAAACAGATGCCATGGGAAAGACTCTGTACAAAGAATGCACCAAAGCAGCAGAAACTTTTGAAAAAGATGGTAAAATAGGCAGGGATGGAGCAGAGAATCTGGCTGGGCTGCTACTTGTACTGTAGTTATGAATATGCTTTTGGCCCGTTGTCTTTAATGGCTTGTAAAAGGAAGACTATTCAATTTAAAGAGAGAAATGAATGCACTACATCAGAACACAACAACATATATCATACACTACAGACTTAGCCAGCTTTTCAAAATACCTTTCATAAATACTTTAAAAATTTAATCACTTGGTCTTTTTATTTAGAGTGGATCATGGGCTTTTAAAATAAAATAATTCTATTTCTATTCACAGTGGGGAGATGTATTTAGATGGTGTAAAAATTCAATTATTTGAATTTTATTTGTCTTGATTAATTTATTTTCCTTATTATGAGGCGGCAAAAGAATGTCAGAAAATTGGAATTATCCATTATAAGAGGAGGGGGGAAATCACATCATCAGCATTCTTTATTTGGAATAATTGCTAGATAGACCAGTAGTTTCACATTGTCATGCTATCTTTGGATATGCTCACTGCACAATAATTGAAAGTTTATTTATTGATGCATATTAAATACCAATGCATTTAACAAAGGCTGTAAAGGCAGGATTAGGCTTTGATTAGATAAGCTTAAGAGAACAGGACTGTTCTCATCCCATGAAACATGAGCATTTATTCCAGCACATTGCAATCATTAGTGTTGTTTGGAAGCATAGGTTAATAGTTAACCATAAGCATATTTTTTGCATTAGTATGCAGTGAAGAAATCTGTATTTACATGGAGTCCACTGGAATGGCCTGGACTGGGGGGCACAAAGAGCCATTTCCTCAGTTTGATATTAATTGAAAAAGCAGCAAAGTTTTGCTAGGTTTGACTCTGTCAATAGCGCAAAAAAAGTTTGACAAAAGTCAAATGTCTGATTTGGGAGGTAAAAAAAAAGAAGTTTTAGTTTCTTTTAATTATGCAAACACTTCCCCTCCCCCCAATTGCTTAATGTTTGCAGCCACTTCCTCTCCGTGTTTTAAATTGTATTTTATTAGTTGCTTTTTGCTTGAGCTGATACACCTTCCTGAATTTCTTTTGCTAGGAATCCAAATGCTGATATAAACATCTAAAATCAGGTAAATAAGGGCATATTTAGAGGTTGTATTTTTTTTTAATGTAATTTAAACTCTGACATAAACCATGGTCCTGCAGATAGTGTATTTGCTTAATAACTAACTGAAAATCCAGAAGCAATGCAAGGCTGAATGTATTTTTCAAAAAAATCTTTGCTAACTTCAGAATTCTCTGAGCTATCGACATTTTTGAACTGTGTAAACTGTGCTGGTATGGGCTGTAAAAGGCAAAAGCAAAGGATTCTGTTCTTTAAGTACACGTATGTACTTATCAGAGAATTGCTTTTAAGATAAATTTAATACATTATATAGGAGAGGCAGTGTAGGCTTTTTTACCAGTATCTATTTTCCCTTGTCCTGACAGCCCTGCTATACATCCCTTCTCCATAATTCTTCCAGTTGGATCTATCTGAATTACATTTAAAGTCAACAATTTAATTATTCAATTACTTTGAACCAAGTGTTTGACCATATTTTTGTTCTTCTAATTTTGCGCACTTAGCCTGAAAATGTAAAATCTAATATATAATACTTCATCAGTTTCACATACAATAATTCCATATGGCAGAAATCCACCTACATATTCAGATTTATGAATTAAAATAAACAAAACAAACAAACAAAAAAGAAATAATTAATACCAGAGCTAGGAAAAAAATAACATTGTAATCTGAACTCAACAAGGAATAAGCAATGTTCTACACATTCTGGCTGTCCAGTGAGGCCCGATCCTGCTGGGAGCTTGGGTGAGTTTGTGCACACAAAGAGCCCTCTCCACTGGTGCCCTCAGTATTGGGTCAAACTGCTCAGCCCCTGACAGGATTGTATCTGTTACAGGGGATAAAAATAAACAGCTAGCCTTTCCTTTCAATTTAAATAGAAGGGTTTCTGTTGAAAACAGGCATGGAGATGTCCAGAAATACTAGCTAGGATCACACGGGGTGAAAGCACAACAAAGGATTTGTGGTGTCCCACAGACAAGTCCAAACAATGACAATCACCTTCCAACTAAACAACTTGGTTAGCAACGATCTGCTTTAGACAAAGGACACCAGGATGTTCGTAATCCTCTCATCTATTCACACCTCTAATAAAATAATCAAGCTAAAATTAAATCATATGCAGCTGTAGTTTTCTGAAGATACCGGCAGAGGTTGCATTGCACTTCCAAAGATGCTGGGGAACAAAATATAAACGACACGGAGCTACTGTGCATGACGAACTAGAAATAGCGCAGAACACCAACCTTCCCAACCAGCTACCAACGTTTCGGTTTGGATCAGGGGCCTCCAACCGTTCCTTCAACAT